TAAATTGGCTATATGGATTGATGACATTTATATTTTGTTATTTTTAATTGTGTTCTATAACCTTGTTATCAAGAATTTATAACAAATTTATGTATCCTTGTATACATAATTTTTTTTCCAGGACAGTGAACTATTAGACATTTACCAGCGTACCACAGAATAGGGGGAATGGAGAGAAGGGGGCAAATCCTTTTAAACCAGCAAAGGACGACAACTTGTTTTCATTTGGTGTTTCAGCTTGCCCTCAGTATTCTACTGTGCCATGGGCTCTAGGTACATGCCTACAGGTGTTAAGGCCAAAACAGGTCCAGAACAGACACCACAACCCCACTGGTAAGAATGAAAAGCACTGTACTTGAAAAAAAATCAACTTTATTTTTCCTACATTAAAAAAAATAGAACCAGCTATTAATTTTTGCTAAGAAAACGCTTCTTTTGGTATTCACACCTAAATTTCAGAAAAAGTGATCTGGTTATTAAATCATCCCAAATGCATTCATAAGCCAGATCCATGTGTGACCAGCCCTTTACAAAAACCAATTACAGTTGCCACGGCCTTTACATTCATTCTCATCACACAGTACAACATGCAGATACACGAAGAAAGGTCAACAGGCTGAAGTAAACATTATGGCATCAGGAAAGTGAAACCTTATGTGTATAAAATAAATACAACTTCATAATAACTGTAAAGAAAACGAAAGCACTCAGTAATGGCAGGTGAATGTGTAACTGTCTCATTACCCAGTCATAAAAGAAGTTACTGTAAAATGCATAGACTCCTTACATGTAAAGAATTTGTGCACCAGTCATGTGTTCAACAGTTTTACACAATAAAAATAAAGCCATTTGAAATGTGTGCACACTTTGCAACTAGAATACACTTAATTTTTTTGCTCTTTAAAGTGTTTTAAAAAAATATTAAATGTAAAAATCCTCAGATGGAAATTTTGCAGAAAACCCCACAGTTTATCTTCCATATGGCTACAGTCACCTTCCCCCAACGGTTCAGCACCCTCAGCATATTCCTAGGGCCCACTTCCTAAGTTGGGGACTGGTACAAATGGTTACAATACAGCACCAACCAATGACTGCTCCAGAGTACACCCGACCCTTTTGTGATCCAGAAATTTCCAAAATAGGAAGTTTTGGTCCCAAACACATTAGTCTCTAACCCTCTTAAAACGATCAAGTATATCTGCTGCCCAGTGCAACTGCTGACTTTGCTTTGCATCTTAACAGATGTAAGGCTCACAGCACTGCAGGGCAAAAAAGACGACATGACAGAGCATTATTATCCATACTTTGTGGACCAGAGCTGAACAGTTTCAATGGTAACTCTGGAGTGAAGTCCTGTGTAGTGACTTCAAAAAACAGAACGAAAAAATAGTTAACTCTTCCTATTCAGTAGTGCAAATAAAACATTTTCTTTTTAAATACAAAAAGAACAAAAAAAGACTACCCATGATCAATGTCTATTTTCTATGATTATAAACTAGGACCAAGACGTTCAGAAGTCTTTTCAGAAGTGATTGTCAAAAACATTACTAAGACAAAACCACAAGAAGTGAGGAACATGAGCAAAGAATGAAGTGGTGTTCTTAACATCAGCCCAACGGTGTAACTTTAGAGTGACGTTCTGAGGATTACACTTGGAAATTTAAGATCTCATTTGCAGAACAATTTTAGTTCCACCAACTCTTGATTATTCAAGGATGTCTTTTCCAGCCCGTGGTTTTGGTATTTCCTCTTCCTGATAGCTGTCTGTCTGTCCATGTCATCTCATTACTCATTAACATAGTCATAAATGCATAGGCAAAAGAAATCAATTCTTTCATTGATCCAACAAAAGAATTCAAATAATTTTTTTAATTAGTGAGCATACCTATAAGGAAAAATAAATTCAAACTCTTACACAGAATTACATTTTTGGCTTCCCTATGACTTATTACTGGATTAATTACCCAGTAATTTAAAAATTATGCCATTAGTACCTAGTTCCTTTACTGTGGAAAATTAGGAATTGGTTGTAATAGCAAAAAAGGTTTAATAATATGACAGATCTGAACTTGCAACTTAAAAAATCTTCTATTAAATTCTCAACTAACATTTTTCTCCATCTAAAACATCATTTTTACTCTGTGATTTTTCTTTACTTTCCACTATGTATAGGTTTCTCTAGCACATATGTATATTTCAACGTCAATGATTGTTTTTGAAGCTAAGAGCGAATGGCTGGCTTGGCCACTGCGGAGTCACTGAACCTGCTTGTGATTGAGCAGATGCTCCATCACTGTGACAAGCTGACACCTGGATTCCAGTAGTGAGCTCTCAACCTGTCTGCTGTAGGAATCTAAGGAGTTCAGCTGAGACCAACAAGTACTAAGATTCTAACAAGCCACCAGTATAAAACGAGCACAGTTTTACTTTCTTTCCTCTTAACCAAAAGCATAACCTCCTTTTGCCCTGCTTTACAAAGACAGTACAAATAGGAATTTTTATTCATTTCTGTACAGTGGTATATTGTTGCTTCCTCAGTTTGCCATAGAAGACACTGATTCTCTCCTCACATTTCCTACCACAAGCAGATGAAGTTCATTTACCAAGAAAGGAATCACTGTCACTGCTCCCAAACAAACATATTTTTGCAAATAAAGGAGAGAGAACATGTTCAGAAAGAATCAAAGAGGGGTAAGGCAGATCTACTTACAATTCATGGATCTACTTTCAAAAATTAACTCACAATCTATAGGTATTTGTCATTCTAGAGACAATGGAAATGACACCACTTAAAAAGTAAAGCATCTTACAGCAGAGTGTGTTTAATGTGTACAGTATATTGAAAAATATCATGTTCCTTTGGAACACAGTGATGACAAAAGTGGCCCAAAGCCTTATTATGTATGTGCATATGCATTTTTTTTGATAGGAGAACTGGCCACTCCACCTTGTAGCCTGCTTTGCAATGAGGAAATGGTCTATTAGCTAGGACTGTATATGATATACTTGACAGTGAGCAACTTCTCCCCCAGATGGCAAACTATTGTCTCAAATGAACAATTTCAATCCACCCTGCAACTGAGTCAAACAGGAGCATCATACAGCTTCTCTTTGGTTTCCTATCATCACTGGTACCATTCACTAATTCATTCACTGCAAAACATATAATCAAATGCTTAGGTTTCAAAATAACTGCATTTTGGAACAAGTATTACCAAACCTATTCTGCATTTTTTTGGGGAGAGGTTTTTTTTTTTTTTTGTCTTTTCTTTTTTGGTGCTGGGATCGAACCCAGGGCCTCACGCATGCTAGGCAAGCGCTGTACCACCGAGCTACATCCCAGCCCCTATTCTGCATTTTTTAACAGTAGTAGTATAATATTGAATGAGGTATTTCAGTTAGCACATCATTCTCTTTCACACATACTCTGAGTTATCCTAAAGATGAAGCTGCCGTGGGCTTTTATTTGGTGTTGCTTTACTTTCCCACATAACTGGGGGGAAATTCACATTTTTCAGTTTTTATTTTTGGTTTATTTGAAAACAGAAAACATTAGCCTTTATTTTTGTTTCACAGCCTATTTCTCAGAATTGTTATTTGTGTGATTAGTGATAACAGGGGAATCTATAGTGCTCATATCACAGAGACCTACCACTCACTTTTTTCTTACTTGATCTTAGTATTCTCACAATCTTAAACCAAAAAAACCAAACACACACACACAAAACCCAAAATCTAAAACATCCTCTACCTCAACACTGATGCAGTGCCTATACTTTTTGTGAAGTTTGGTTCTCCTATGAGGTAAATCACATAAACACAGTGACAAATGAAAAAAAAAGTTTTCTAGAAATAATAAACTTGACTTTACCTTTTTCAAAAGCAATTGAAAGAGACTGGGAAGTCTTTCGGTGCTGGTCTCTTTCTCAATTTCACCACCCTGAGAGGAGCAGCTGCTTGATGTAACAATAGAACATACTGCTATCTGCACTAGTTCTGGGTAGGCCACATGAGACCTTGTCACTATTATATGCCAATGCCTGGCTCTATCTCTTATCTTCCTATAAACTAGTCTATTTCCCCTTAAACTGACCATTTAAATGTTTTACATTAATTTGTTTTAACATCCCCAAATGCATTTAGTGCTATGATGTCAAAATGGAAAAAAAAAAAAAGTATCCAACTACAAACAGGGGTATCAGGTCAGACGTGACCAATGCAGGGTGGTGCTAGAGAGCATCCATGGGCGATACATAGACAAGAAAGCCTCCTGGGACCTGCTCACTGATGAGATTTCCCTTTGTTTTCAGGCTACATTACTATCCTTTGCTATATTTGCATCTGATAAAAGTGCATTTTGTGAAGTACAAATATCAATCTATAACAGATATGCCTTCTATACAAAAAAGAGAAATTGGGTGACCCCCTCCCCAGTAGAAGGGAAAGCACTATTGCATGTAAACATGGTGCTGGATTGAGCTAGCCTTTGAAGGAACACAGTCAACGCCAGGTGTTCAGTGGACACTACCCCTGCCCCCCAAACGCAAATACTGTGCCTCAGCCCAGTATTGAGGACTGGAGTTTGTTACTATGAATGGCAGGGAAACCTCTCTTCAGGAGGTGCCCATCAGCTCCCTTCAGGCTACTAGTACCACAGCATGAGTGGGTGAAATGAGGGCACTGTAGAGCATTGCTCTAATAAGAGACTACTAGCTAGGAGGGAGGAGCACAACTTCTGAGCCTGAACTAAATGATCAAATATTTGGTGGCAACGAGAGTTTCTTTCAGATAGTCTTCTAGAATGATTTTATGATTTTCTCTTCTCCAAATGTGATGTTGCTTAAATATGTGGTAGAGTGTATCTCTTTAAAACATGAGAAGTTCTTAAAATATATTAGCAGGTCATTGTATTATTGATCCTTATTAGTGGAGTTTTAAAATATCCCAAAGGGGGATAAGTATTAATCCATCCATTGAATTTCCTTTGCCTTTTTTATATATTTTGATTTGCACATGTAAAATAATGCACACTTATGAAAGTTTGAACTCCTATGGTGACCTTGACAAGTCCAAGTCAATTCCTAAAATAGGCAATGGTAAACATACTGAATGATGTTGTACCACATATAGCCTGACAAAAATGCAAAAGACTGTATGAGAAAAATCCATATGTTGCTGAGGGTCATATCCCTGGAAACAGCTTCTTTGTGGTCCTTGGAAGGTGGAAAGGCTCCTAAAGACAAGAAGAAATATTAATTTGTTTTACTGTTTTGATAGGTCTCCTGGAATAAAAGGTGAAGATTATCTACAGCTGTGATTTTCTTGCTTTTAAAGAGAGAATTCATTTGACATACAATTTCTAAGCTGTCTAGTCCCATCCTGCATCCCAGCTCTTGCCTTTATTCCCTGCTAGAATGCCCCTCTTCTGCCTTGGTGACAGGCTGACTCCTCAGTCCTTGTCACTCTCTCCTCCAGCTTTATTTCCTTCATGGCATTTTCCCCAGTCTGTAATGGTCTCACCTATCCTTTCTTCTTTCTGTAGACTTGTTTACTACCTGTGCATCCCACCCCCGCCAATAAAATCTGCATGAGACCCAGGCTTTCTGTAGGCCTTGAAAATCATGGCAAGGACAAGGACCACTTGGTGGAACAGAACTGCTCACCTCATGGCAGCTGGGATGCAAAGAGCAATGCTTATTTTCTAAAGGGATAAAGTTTACTTTTTAAGTTTTTATGAATACAAACAGTGCTTTCTCCTTGCAGGGGGATGTCTATCTTAATATTCTCTACACTCTATAAAACCAATGAGAAAAATATAAGGGGAAGAGGAAAGAAAGAAAACAAGGAAGTTAACATTGGTAGGTCAGGTACTTCCAAAGTGCTTTTATGAATTGCTGTCTTGTAAGACTATTTTTCTAGCACCTAAACTAGGGAAAAAACGAACAGAAGGTGTCTGGCTATGTGGTTTCAGATTTGACAGAAGGGTGAGAGGCAAGAAGTGACAGGAAACCAACAAGGTCCCTCTTGTTTTTCATCCTCAATCTCTTGCCTTACGGTATTTGGTTTAAGTTGTAGCAACAATAATGGAAGCCTTTTTAAAAGAAAGCTATTTGCATATAGACCTTGAAACTTGAAAGTGGACTCTGCAAATTGCTTGTACACAGCAAATCCCCTCATGAATCAGCTTACCCTGGAAGATTATCAACAAGGGCAAAGACTTTGCATGCTGAGGAGTGTTAAGGATGACCTTCGTTAATATTACTCTGAAGAAATCTAGCTTTCCTTTCCAGAATAGAACTCAGAGATGTCTGTTTGCTTTGCATTTCTCCTTTTAATTATTAAGATGTATTTCATAAACCATACTGTTTTTTAATATGTCAGTGTTATAAAACCACTTTTGAGGGAAAAAAACATCTAATTTGTAAATAAAGGAATTAGTATAAATTATTCTATTTCAGAAATTATTTGATGTCTATTTCACAGATCCTGTTTTCGGACCATTGTAGATCCCTGTTTGCATTCATGAAAACTTAGTAAGTGAACTTTATCCTTTCATGTAAGAAAACAAGCAAGGCTCTTTGTGTTCCAGCTGCCATGAGGTGAGCAGATTTGCGAAGACACATGTTCACTGCAATGATTTTCCATGTTGGTCCCATGAATCCAAAGTGATGGGGCCAATCAGCCATGGACTGAAACCATGTGACAAAACAACTTTCCTCACTAAAAAAACAAAACTTTAACTAAAAATTACCTCAGATGATATTATTTAAATAACCAAGTACAGTGACAAAACATGAATGTTATTTGCTAGTCCATAAATCACCCCACGTAATTGTACACATATGACTGCACTCATCCACAGATGGTGTTCCTTCCCATGTAGTCTCCTCAATTAGGTCCACTGTGTGACACCATATTTATCATATAGTCCCTGTACACAGGATGATAAAGTAAGAACCTGAATATGTTTAACATAAATTTGTCTTTAAATAAATCCTAAGCTGAAAATCTTAGATATATAGAATGATTTTGATTTCCTTAGAGTATCTATAGAAGCAAAAAATGGTTATCTCACCTAAAGCACACATTTGAAATTTCTGATAACTTCAGAAATGCATAGAATAGAGATACTGTGTACCTGTTTCATAAAAATGTGATAAGAGGTCCTCTTTTTCAATAAACCGTTGATAGAGCCAGTTGGCAAGGTCATTGGTCTCCAAGGGAACATCTTTAATTGGAAAGATCCTATTAAGAGTTAGAAAAAAGGATAAAACTACTTTAATTCAGAAGTGAGACAACTATTCAGTGCCATAATTTAGCTTTGGTGATGAAAAGGTGAATAAACTTACTGAACCACCTTTTGTTTTGTAAAAGTTGGTTTCTTCAACTTCTCAAGTCTCTTTGTCTTTTAAGTTGCTGATTACATACACAACATAGCTCATTTATGCATTTGTGTGGAACACTAAGTGCTAGATATTGAAAACATACTTCTAAATTGCCATCTATTGCCGAGAATATTTCTTCCCATGTAGGTGTAAGTAGAAATAGTATGTAGAACAGATGGAGTTTTAAAATGCAGCTAAATTAGAACATACCTATCATTTAAATGCTAGGCCAAGGGAAAGGCAGAGAACCAGATCGAATTTGCCCAAACTGGTGGCTCACTAGCTCAGGCAGGCCTGTGGCTCACCCTGGTCTTGAATTTGCAATCCTCTTCCTCCTCTACTTCCACCTTCCAAGTGCTGAGATTACAGGCATGCGCTATGGTGCCAAGCTGGGACAACTTTGGAAGTGACTCCTGGAACACTATTCTGAAAACTCTGGGACCAGGTCTTAGTTCAACAGGAAATAAAATTCTTGACGCCCATGAAGCACGGCATGAGCACTATGTATTAATGATCACAAAGAGCTTTTCTTGTTTTCTAGTTTTATGGTGAGTTTTCTCTAGTTTTTTCCTCTAGCAAAGGTGTAAAGGTTCACAGTTTGAAAAGTCTACAAAAGCATATATAAAAAATGGCAGTCCTGCTTCTGTCCCCTTGTTTGTCTCTACTTTCCCAAAGGATCAGTTGTCAACTCATTTAGCCAGCTGCCTTGGTATTTATCATTATGTTTCTTCTTCAGTTCTATGCAGTATCTACTGACCTCCTCCAATGGAAGATGAGGATCAAGCTTTGTCCTCCTCCAATTCTCACCACACACACACATCCTTCCTGTCTTCCCAATGCAGTTGTAAAGCTCAATCTTAGCTGTATTATTATAATCATGTAAATACATACATAGTTAAGTCACGTAGCAAGTTGTGGCTACTTTTTCTTTCTCACTGTCTAAGTACATACAATAAGTGCAACCACAAGCTCTTGGTCCATTGTCTAGAATCAATTTTCTAGATCAAGTCCATAGCCTTTCTCTTACAAGGTCAGGTAGAAAACATTTGAGGCTTTGTATTCTCTGTGGTCTCTGTCAAAACCACTCAATTCTGCCTTGTGGTATGAAAACAGCTGGAGATACTGTATACATAAAAATGCAGAGCTATAATTAAGTGAAATTCTATTTTAAATTTTCACCTGGACTCTGGGTTTTATATCTGTAGTTTTCATTTTGTGAAGTCCTCTTAAAATCATCCTGGTGATGCCCTGCACTCCTAAAATGAATATAATGGTTCCTCTACCTGTGTCTTCTCTTTCTCTACTCATTTGGTGGAACACATTGTCCAGCAGTTTCTTGAGAAAGGAGTTTCTTACATGTCTGTCAGTGATTTTTCCTGTATTGCTATAGTTTGGATCTTAAATGTCCCCCAAATGCCCATGTGTTAGAAGTTTGACTCCCAGGGAGGAGCTATTGGAGGTGGTAAAACTTTAAGAGGCGGGGCCTTTTGGGAAGGTCTTTAGGTCACTGAGGGTGCAACCGTAGTGGATCCTGGGGCCTTGGTCTGTCTTCTCTCTTTGTTCCTTGGACCACTTACTTCATGATGATGTGCTATCTCATCATAGGCCAAAAAGTAACAATGCCAAATGATCATGGACTAAAACCTCCAAAATTGTGAGCCACAAGAAATCCTTTCTCTTTATAAGTTGACTATCCCAAGTAGTTGCTATCACTGACAAACACAGCATCAAACTTGGTTGATAATGTGGCTAGAGGTAGGAATCAGGGTTAGAAACCATTTTCTTCCATTTCTGTCTTCTTGTCCTCCTTTCTGGGAAATTTCTTATTTAACTTCTAAACCTTTTCTAAACTTGGGGACTTGGCTCAAGTGGTAAAGTGCCTGCCTAGCAAGTGCAAACCCCTGAGGTCAAACCCCAGTACTGCCAAACAAAACAAAACAAAAACCCAAAAAACAAAAAACCACAACTTTTTTCTTTTTTATTGTATTTTTATGTTCTAAGGGCTCTTTTATGTTTCTTTTTATGGTATGCTATTTTTGTTTTATTGTTGCAGTATCTTATTATTACAAGAAGCTTATAAAATTATAATGGAAAAATTTAAACATTCACAAAAGTAAAGAGTTAATGAGTTCCAAAGTACTATTAGATGTTTAGAAGTAGTCCTGTCCCTCTTTTGCCTCCTGTGTTTTAGTCTCCATTTTTTAGAGTACAGGATGGCTAGATTACTAGTTATCTGGTAATTGTTTGCTCCCATTTACAGATGTGGGACTAAACAGCAACTGAGAGTTCTAGGTATGTATGTGAATGGAGCCTGCTGACTAGGAGCCTCACTGAGGGTTATTTGGCTGGTCCACATTACATGGTCTTCTTCTAACACTCACCCATTTGCCCAGGAAAGTATAATTTCCGGCTAGACAGTGGCGCCTCTGGCAGCCAGAGAGGTAAGAGGCTGGGAACCTCAGCACTTGGGACACTGACACCACTTGGCCACATATTTTCTTTTTGGGCCCTCTGCCTCTGCAAGGCCTGCTGCTCCTCAGCACAGGGTCTTATCTTTCTCTCTAGAGAAGCCTACAGCATTTTCCAGGACAAAGAAGGAATAATCACCCAGCTACAGGGCGGGGCACGGGGTAGGGCATGGGGGACCTTAATTCTTCCTGAACAGATTACCACCAGTCTGCCCAAATTTAACAGCACTTTTAACCTTTGCATCAGTTACTTTGCAAGGATTTGAAAACTATGACGCACATCACCATAAAAAAGGTAAGCTTATGCAGTATGATTAGTAGAACAGTCCCCAGACCAGTTAAATAAATACAAGGGCTTCCAAAACAAGAAGAATGATGACACAGACTCCTACAAAGGCCTTTTTTGGGGGATTAGGGGTGGGACTAGAGTTTGAACTCAGAGCTTTGCACTTGCAAACAGGCACTCTACTGCTTGAGTCACACCTCCCTCCAGTCCATTTTGCTCTGAGATGGGTTGTTCTGGAGATGGGGTCTCAAAGTATTTGTCTGGGCTGGCCTTGTGCCATGGTCCTCTCAATCTCAAGTCTTCCAAGTAGGTAGGATTACAGTTGTGAGTCACCAGCTCCTGGCTTTACAAAGGCCTTTAAATTGTTTTCATGCCTTGGTCATTTGGTCCCATCTTGGGAAAAGAAAATCAGAAGGAAGATTACTTATGAATCACATTGTAATTAGATCCCTTTCTCTTGAGACTTAAATTTAAATATCAAGTTGGAGATATTTTAATACCTAATCTGAAATGTTAGTGGGCAGGAAAAAGAAGAAGGGGAAGAAGGAAGAGTGTGCTATAAAAAAATCTATTTAAAAATCATTTCAAGAGCTCATACAGCTTTTATTTCAATTTTGTTTTTAAAAATTTAAGAGGAAAAAGTAGCTTTTTCAGGACAGACATGGTGGCACACACCTGTAATCCTAGCTGCTTGGGACGAAGAGATCAGGAGGATCAGGAAAATCAGCATTCAAGCTAGGCAAAAAGTTGAGAGCCCCCTCCCCATCTCAACAACAACAAAAAGCTGGGCATGGTAGTGCACACCTGTATTCCCAGCTTCAGAGGAGGCATAGGTAGGAGGATTGTGGTCCAGGCTGGTCCTAGGCAAAAAAACACATGACACTATCTGAGAAACAACTAAAGCCAAAAAGAACTGGGGATGTGGCTCAAGTGGCAGATCACCTGCATAGCAAGCATGAGGCTGGAAGTTCAAACACCAGTGCTGCAAAAAAAAAAAAAAAAAAGAACTTTTACATTATTATTATTTCCTAAAATACAATACTACATTGCTCTGAAGAAGCAGTGTAGAACTCTTTGCCTGACTGATTATTTTGAGGAGTAAGGTCCATAAACCTCAAGTCTTGGCTTTCTGCTATAAAATTCCCCATCAGAACTGGCTAGAATCTTCCCCTGTTCTCACGAGCCAACAACGGAAAGATTAAATAATGTGTTAACTTTAAGAAAAACACTGAAGATGCTAAAATCATCCAATAGACTAGTATTTCTTGGCCTGAGACCTATCCTCCGAAGTAATCAAAAGATCTCTTTTGAATCGAACACTTATTCCCTGAACTCTCCACACCATAGGTTCCAAAACAGGTCACTGAGACAGTAAGTGAAACTCCCTGGCTGAGAGTCCCTTCTACTACCAGTGACTGTTGGGACTGGGGGGATGAAGGAATGGGGCTACTGGAGAGTCTGCTTTGTGGGCACAATTAAAGCAATCCCAGTAGCTAGTGTGGCACACTATGAAGAGCAAAGCCTATTTTCTCACCTCTTAAAAGTTCATACTGAGCTCTAACTCTCCCTTTGACTTCTTTTTCGTTGGTACTGGGGATGGAGCTCTGGACCTCATACTTGCTAGGAGGCACATTACCACGTGAACACCACCATCAGCCCTTTCTTGGTTTTTCAGATAGGGTCTTGCTTTATGCCAGGTTGGCCTGGACCACTATCCTATTTGTGACTCTCCACATAGGTAGGTAGAATGACAGGTGTGTACCACCATGCTCAGCTATTGGTCGAAATGTAAACTTTTTTGCCTAGGCTGGCCTAGAACCATGATCCTCCCAATTTTAGCCTCCTAAGTAGCCAGGATTATAGGCATGAGTCAATGCACTCAGTCTTCCTGTGACATTTAATATCTATTGAAGTAAAATAAGATAGGGGCTCTATTTCTCATAATGGCAGAGTGGTTCAGAGACAATGATTACAAATTCTGAACAAAACACAAAAGGAATTAGTGGGTGGCACTGGAGAGTGACTAAAAGCAGGCAGGTTTTGGAGAAGAGTCAGTGTTAGAAAGTGGGAATGACACTGGGTGACTTTCTCATTTTTTTTTTTTTA